GCTTCGAGTAGTTTTTTTGCTTTTGCAGAGCTCTTTGGTGCTAAGGAGTGCAGATGTGGTGTTTTGAGCACACAGTCCAGGATGTGTTTTTCCTCTCATTTGACAGTTGATGGTGTTTGTGCTTGTCTATAGTGTTATTTCTATGTATTTTTTTTTTGTATCCATATATTGACAATGTTACTGAGAAAAAATGCATAATATGACATGACAATACATCAATAATTTCTTTCTTATGTCTGCTACCGGTTATTATCCATTATGAATAATGTGCTGATTTTTTAAATTGATTTATGGCTATAAAATGTCGACAAAATCTTTTAAACATTTCAGAACGCATCATTTGACAGATTGCTTGTTTTTTGCTAAAAGAGGATCTAAGTTAAGCGTAGCTTGAATTCAAAGATATGTGATTTAAAATCAAAGAGGGGGAAAAACCAGACATGATAAGCTGGATGTTTGTGTTTTAGCCTAAAAAGTGACTTGAACAGCAACAACAATGTACTTTCTTTTGACTTAAGTGCTGCTGTGAATGTTATTTGTAGATGACTAGAATTATACCCAGCATAACAATTCATTTCTAACTTAACACTTAGAAGTAACAGCTCAGTTTCCCCTATATTTCTTCTACTTACACATTTTCAAAAGACATACAGGAGCACAGCAATTGATTGTAAATACACACCAATACACACCCCCTGACAGAACTCCAGGAATCTAGTTCTTAGAAGTTCATGCTGCACATTATGTCCACTAGAGAGCAGTGTAGACTCGGTCATTTCAGACCCGGATGCTTCTCCATGCAACACCAGTGAAGCAGGGCGGGTGGAAACCCAAATACAGAACACAATTACAACAAAGGCTAAAAATAACAGCAGAGTGTGACTAACCAAGACCTAAAACTGCCTCTCTGAGCCTGAGAAAAGAGAGCATCATACACTGAGATGTGGAGATTCTCTGCACAAACATTTCCCTTATTCTGTACTATTGTGTTTTATGTTGAGGTGAAGCAGGTTAAAGAGATAGAAAGCAGAGACTGTATGTGCCCTGCAGACCGTGATACTGAATACGTCACTCCTGACATTTTACACTAACTCATTTTACCATCCCGTGTCAATAATGCACCGTGCACTCACACTCACATATGCACACGTATGAGTACACATGGATATGGACACACACACAGGCGGATACTCACACACACATTCACTTTGTCCGGCAGCCGTCCAGGCAGGCAGTAGGCTCCATCAGATAAATATGAGGCTTGTAATGCGACCACAGAGACGGGGCTGATGGGATCAATAAAGAACGGCGCTGCAGGTCATCGGGAGAACACAGCGAGAGGATAAATATGGACTGGCTCATCGGAAAACAGAGCAGCGAGACTGATGGGTACACAGGACTATCTTCTCTCGTGTGTTCTCGCACCACTCTGACACAGATCAGACAGACAGATTTCACTGCGGTGTGCTCTCCCTCTAGATAAAGTAGTCTGTTTTCTGATGTTCTGCATGGCAATTCTTTGAGGCTTTAGGAGTTAATGAAGTGTGCACACTCATTTTTTTCTTAATTAATTGTTGTTTCAGAAGACTTTTGTATTCATTGTGGTAACGATTTTGTAAAGATAGTAGGATGTGGTAACCGTTTGTGAAGTGTTTTCAGTGGAGAGTTTTAGCCCCACATGGTTCTTATCACAGGTAGTACCATGGAGCAGATACATGCATTCTTCTTGAACTTACGTGAACGGTTTTGGCCTAGTCTGCTAGTGCCCTTCTTTTTGTAGTTGGAATATCTTTGGTTTTTGCTGTTCCCTGGACACAATTGGAAGTATACAGAAATCATTGAACCCCGGGAAATGGTTATGGTGGTATTATTAATGAGTACTGGCACTAGCATGAGTTGACAAACAAAATCTTAACTCATCCAGAATGGGAGTAGTAAATGTTGCCATGCCTAGGTCAGAAAGATACAAAATTAAATTAACACATTCCATTTCACGCAGCTATATTCAGCTGAAGATGCACTTAACATAAGCGGGTGGAGGTGTGTGAAGATCTGACGTGTGCTTTTCTGTTTAATCTTTTCTCTGGCATGTTCAGTTAGAACATAATAGATGCTAGACCAGGGGGGACAAATAATGTCCTCAATGGGCCTAATGAGAAAGTGGAACTGCGGTGAAGGGCCGTACTATTAGCCTGAACTCAATTCTGCTCAATATTAATTCTATTTATTTATATAAAGCACTGCATTTAATGATTTTGAAAAGCTGCTACTAGTTAAAGAATATGATATTGGTAAAACAGCTAACATTGTATCACTATTTTAACAAAATTCTGAATTCTTGAATTTGAGGATGTTTTACAGTATTTTGAAGACCAGCATTAAAGGTCTCCTATTATACTCTTTTTCAACAATATATTATAGGTCTCAGATATATACAAAACATGGCTGTGAAGCGTTTGTGAGATAGCATTGCAGCATGCCATAAACTCCTCTAATTCAACCCTGTTCCAAAAGTGCTGATTTGGTGTCTGTAGCTTTAAATGCTAATGAGCTGCTGCTGACCACGCCCCTCTGAAAGATGATTGGTTTATAAAAACAAACAATTGTACTAGGAGGAGATTCCGGTGATAAGGTGGGCGGATGTTACCTTGCTTGGTTATTGGCTAAAAACATTGTGACATCACAAAGTGGCCAAAATCTGATTAGCTCATTTTCAGACAGGTTTTTATATAAATGGATTGGGAAAAAAGAGAGGGAATCTTTTTTCTTGTAATATTCCATATCCCTTCACACAGAGATATGGAAAAGTGGATTTTGCACAATTTGTGAACTTTAAATTTAAAATAGTAATAAGTGCTTTTTCTGTTTTGTTTGTAGTCTATTTACCTCTCTATAGGCCTACTGTATATCCCAGTTATTTTTTCTTCCAGTCTGTGTTTGGCTTAAACAAGACAAGTACTGAAGTCAGGTTGAAGGTCTGAGGTTGATATGCGATGGACAACTGACACGTGATTGTCAACGAGAATGGTGGTTGTTGTGGTGCATGTATGTGTGTTTATTTGTTTGTTTGGGAGTGTGTGTTTAAGTGCTGGTTGTGCTCTCTTGGTTATCCGAGCTGCACCTATTTAACTTTTTTAAGATAACTAAAGGACTGTTTAGTGACGCTGCACATGGGGCTGTAACAACACTCTAGACTTGTGTCAGAGCCAATATGGTGATTAGAATGAAAGTCAACTCATAGATGTTGTTGTTATAAATAGTGGTTTGCCATTGTCTGGCTTTCTGGTTATGATTGTTGTGTTTATTATCTTCAACAAGTGAAATTATGGATGGGATCATGTGTTTGGTTTGATGTGTTTGCTCGTCTTGGAGATTTATTTGAAATCCAGATCGGCAATATATGTTATTTGTTGCATGTCATAAATCTGTAATACACATTGTGTTTTGGTGAGGCATTGAAATTTGCCAGCTAATTACATAAAGGCTTAGAACATTATCTGATACGATAGAAGAATACGATGACGATCACTAAGTCTTATTATGTCTCATAAGATATTTCTCATAAGAGGATTTGTGCAACATTTACATAGTTAGTGCCAATAGATTGCTTGGGCTATATATATTTGAGAACTGGTGGGCTTATGGTGATGGGGGCCACAATGAATCTTACAGTTCTCCTCGAAAAAACTCTTCATGCTGAAAATAAACAGTAGCATTGTGGACTAGAATTTGGATTTATCCTCTTGTTATAGAAAGTGCAATAAAAGTAACGTTTGCCACATGAAAGAGGGTGTTACTCACTTGAAGCAATGATTTTCCATTTTGAGTTGGTCCAGAACCCTTTCTTACTTTTTTCCTTCTTTTCTGAATGTTCAGTTCATGTTTTTTTTCTTCATCACTGTCATCATTTCATCAAAGCATCATCTATAATATCCTGAATGTTATTCCTATTATTATTTATGTCATACACATTTTTAGTCTCAGTGTTTTGTGTCCCATTGTTTTCATCATCTATTTGTGTTCTGTAAGCACTGAGCTGTGCACATCTTTTTTTTGATTTTTTATGTTTTAGGATCAAAGAAGAACCAAAGCCTCAGCCGGCACAGTAAGTGAACTGCATTACCCAGAGTGCTAGGCTTTGAAACTTCTTCCTGTCAGTTGGTGCTGTGTGCTTCATGTGGCTTTCTCCTCTTTGTCTGGGAGGAAAACGAAATGAATGTCACTAATGTCATGGAAAGCACAATAATTGCTCAATTTTTTAAGCTTTACATAAGTAGCATTGAATAGATTGTTGAATTATGTGCTGGACGCCAAACAGCCGACTTCCATGACATCAGTGACGACGGCTTTTCTTTTCTACCAGCTTTATCATAGCCAGGCCCACACAATCCTTTCCCCTTGTCCCTGGTTTTTAACTGGCTGCCCTTTCTCATCATCTGCACTCTGATTGGCTGGTGCAGCCTTGTAATCCAATCACAAATGTAGACTAGATGCACCAACTATAGCTGCATTTTCTTTCCTAAATCCACCTGTAGGCTTATCCAGTTTGATAACCTGACCCTTACTGCACACCATGCTGGAATAAATGACTCCTGTTACCCTTAGCTGAGCGTTTGATGCAGCTCTCATTTCCATTGGCTGTAGAGCTTTCCTGCTTCTTCTCTCCTTCCCTCGACACAAAGTATTTCATCTTTCTTTCTTCTTCTATCTTCCTCTCTACTTCTGACACTGTGTCTGGTTGTCAATGTTCCACTAATCGCCGCTCTGCCCGTGTCCCGACCTTCTCCTCTTTCTGAGCTGGTTGTAGTGAATGTCCCTGCTGTTGTTCACTTCCTAGAATCTGACCTTCTTTCTAAACAAAAAACGTTTCAGGATAGATTGTTTTCTCCCATGATAACTCATTGCGATGTTCCAGTCACACTTTTCTTATTTGAACAGGTGGTTTCCCTTTAGTGGGATCACTGAGCTGGTAAATAACGTCCTTCAGCCCCAGCAAAAGTCCCAAAATGACAAGGAGCCAGAGCCAGACGCGTAAGTAATAGTGCAGACGCCTTCTCCTTACAGCAGGCACAAACATACAGTGGTAATCCCAGGAGCTGGACGCACAGTATGTTTGACCTGAGTGGATATTGTGTATGTGTTACACAATTTCTCAGTGTGTTTGTAAAAAGCATAAGTGGAAAGTGGCGATAAGGGAGTGGTGTGCCATAATGGTATAGCTTTGAGGGTTTGTAACGATACTAATATATCAAAGTCAAGAAGAAAAAAAGTATTTTAGGTTATTTGCACACACATCATTCTATGAGAATAATGCATCTAATGAAAAAGGTCAAGAAGTCACATACTTTTACATAGCACTTACCATCTACCTAAGGAAAACTGGGAAAAAAAGGAGAAATGAATTACTCATAAAAATGTAATGTGAAATATAATATCGAACTATTATACATTTTGGATAGGAGAATTCAAACAAAATTACTTATTTAGTTGTATATATCAACAACAACATAAACAGGGGAGTGATGTTTGACTTGTCATGGTAGAAATAGCACAGGTGTTACTAAATTGAATGTGTTCCATACGTAAGTAAGTAAGTAAGTAAGTAACTAAAGTTTATTTATATAGCACTTTTCACAGAAAGGATTCACAAAGTGCTTCACAGTGAGATCACGATAAAAAGGAGAATACATGGTGTAAAACAAGGAACACACAGCTACATATACACATCAAAACACAACATCAAAACATAAAACAAACTGTCAAAAAGAACCTTCACCTTTACTAAAAGTCTGTCTAAACAACAAGGTTTTCAGCTGCTTTTTAAAAGGCTCCACAGAGTTTAAAGTGCGCAAGCAAAGTGGGAGCGCGTTCCACAGTCTGGGGGCCACTGCTTGAAAGGCTCGATCGCCTCTGGTTTTAAAGTGCGTGTGCGGAATGACCAGCAGGCATTGGTCAGAGGATCTAAGAGAACGTGCAGGATTATAAAGTTTCAGCAGCTCAGAAATATAGGCAGGGGCTTGATTATTTAGAGCTCTAAAAGTGAGGACTAGTATTTTAAAATGAACGTGATATACATACGGAAAAAGGCAGCAGCCACACAAAGCTAGCTACTAGTTTGGACAGTAGAGCTAGCAAGCTAACAACATATATTTTTTATCAGAAGAGTGTGGAGAGTAAACGAGAGCAGAACACATTTAAACATTACACTTGCGTCTTATCTGTTTTGTGTGCAAATATGCACTTTTTAGCTAGCTTGCAAGACATAACAACATATTTTCAGGGCTTGGGTATGATTTAATTATTTTATTGTTGACGTTATGCCCAGTGGCTGCTATTAGCTTAAATTAGCTTTAAGTTAAGAGCTTGAAGCTTTCTTATACAATGTTACAGTGGTGTATAACTAATGCTAGGTACATTTGCTCTTACTTATATTGTTTTTTGTACCCTATTATGTATTTGATGCTTACTGTTACTGCTATTAGTTACTATTTACAACATAGGATATGCTTATTCTAAAATTCTATTTAGCTCCACATATCCAACATTAAAATGCTCTTGCACGTAGGCTACTTAATATTGAAAACAGACACAATAATAATGTTATTCTATAATAATTTCATTATTTGAAAGGAGCCATTCTGCTTTACTTTTGATACTTTAAGTTCTTTATGCCCTTTTCACAGCAGCCATTTGACACGTCATTGCAGGGTGTACACAGGTGTAATTAATTACATTAATTATGGCTCTCTCCATTTAGGTGGGCCATGCCTGGCATTGTACAAGTTGGCTCAATGGAATGTCTGTGAAGCACTAAATTGAACCATACCATTATTAATTATAATCAATTACACCTGTGTTACCTGCAATGGCATGTGAAAATGGCCTATACTTTTGTACTTTTACTTACTGGCCGCTATTAACACACACACACACGCACGCACGCACGCACGCACGCACGCACGCACGCACTCACACACACACACACACACACACACACACACACACACACACACACAACACACACACCACACACTGCCATGTCTATGCCCTCGGTGCCAACATGGGATGATAGAGGAGTTAGAATTGAGCTCAGAAAGTGTGCAGTTTGTGGCACCAGTGGAATCCAGAAGTTTGCAGAGAGCGTGTAGTTGACCCTCGCTGCTGTTGGGTCTGTCATATGTCCAAGAGAGAGGCTCAGGTTACTGGCTGTGTGTAGCTGCTCTGGTGCGGCCCAGAGGTAAGAGAGCTCCGTTACGCAAGCCTGGGATGGGACAATGAGCAGCGTATGATTACTCGTCAGCAGTGTCACCTACATTTGACCGTGTTTGACCGAATAAGCCAACCCTCTCTAGAATGGGCACTGTGTACCAGCTGCCTGCACCCACTCAAATCTACTCTTACTCTTACTGTGTTTTTATAGTCATGTTTTTTTAACTCATTTATTTTATTTATTTTCTGTTACATTAAATGTTGCTTCTTTGAAATCTGTCTCAGTTGGCAGCTTAGAATCAACATATTTAAAAATATAAAAAACCTGTAAAACTCACCTGTGAAAATGGCTTTTAAAAATTGTTTTTTATAACTTCTATTTAGCCCCCCAAAGAGGGGATTGAGCTTTAGAAAAGTGACCCGATACAGAGAAAATGAGAGGTAATCATTTGTTATCTTAAACAGCTCTTCTCACTGACCTTGTCTGTCAATAGAGCAGTGTGGCCTGTAGCGGCCTGGGATCGAGCTCATGTCTCTGTAAATGTTTGAGTGTAAAGGGAGATTAAGAGAGAATAAAACCAGATTGTTTGTAGTCTTCTTTTCTTGATCCTCGGAGACAGTGGCTTTAATATATTTAATACATTTAATTTATATAGCGCTTCTCATCTGCCAAGACAAATTTCGAAGCACTTTGCCTCTTGTATCAGAGTCTTCATCACTCTGTTATCAGGCCCACTGTCAGTAAATGAGATTTGGTGTGATCTGTTAAACAAGGCTACATACTAATCTCTGCTTGGTAAACACACAAAGGCTGTGACACAATTAGCCCTTTAATCCCTCAGTGGGTACAACAGGGGGGCATTTCAATGGCACTCTATCTAATATTTAGATGGCATTGAGACTCGCTCACACAACCGCACACACAGATGGTCTTCAGGTGATGTGCGGCCATTACATTTGGGCCTGAAAGGTCTGGTTGTGGGTAAAGGAAGCATGTTTATCTCAAACGCAGAGCTGTATGTGGTAAAAGGATAGCGTTGTTCAATAATTCACAAGTGCTAATGAATGTTGCAGGGGATATGTGGGTCGAAACCAATTCTAATCGCCATATTATGAAGTCAGCCCAGTGTTTAGTTTCCAAGGAGACGCTCAATTGACATGTGTCATACAAAATGCATGTGAAGAGTTCATTCAGGTTTGTTTTTAGTAGCCTCTCAGGACTCGTTAGGAGTTAAGGATCTACTGTATAAAATCAGGTGTACTGTATCAGTAGGGGGCCATCTATAGGACACAAGTAGTAATACAAGTATGGAACTTCACTGACAAATGATTAATGGATGATGAGCTATCGTGTGTGTATGGCCAAATATTCCCAGTAGAGAAGTAACTGTTCTGTATTGGTAATGTCATTATCCAACAGTATGGCCCTAGGATGTGCTCTGTCTACCCTTACAACAGTCCTGATCAGGGCCGGACTGGGACAATAAGTCAGGCCGGGAATTATACACCCAGCCAGGCCACTACCAGCTTTCTTTTTTCTTTGTGCCATTTTGCTGGATTTATTTGTGAATATTTACAGCGTTGCTGCCCATAGTGATAGCCCTATAGTTTACATCTACTACCCAATAATAAACATATGGACAGGGGTTACTATTTAAAAAAATGTAAAATGTATTTAGGAACCTGTCCATGTGATTTTAAGTGGGGGTGGACCTCAAATCCTCTATGGGGGTCCGGGCGTATTTGCCCCCCCGGTAAGATTTATTTTTGAATTTTTTAGTGAAATGCATCAATCTGGTGCATTTTGAGAAAGAAAAAAAAAGACTATAGATCTATGGAAACACCCATACAGTATGAAACAGAACTGTATACATTTAAATAATCATAAAAACAAAAGAACATGGCCATAACCAATAACATACCATATCCAATATAAAAAAAGATGGAAAGTTGTTTATTTATTTATTTTTGGTTCATTTATGGTTGTGAGTGTGTCTGGGCTCCTGAACCAGCCTCACCTGTCTCCCTCCTCTCCCCCCTTTTCCCGTGCTCCTCTTTGAGGCAGCAGCAAAGTATATTTTTTAGCTCTCAACAAGTTTTAAAAGTGTATCTTGCCTTTTTTCAACTATTTAACTTTTTTTTAAATTCATGTATATGTTACTAATCACTACCCTCTCAAATGGAAATATGTGTTTACATAAATGGTGACCGAACCGTTTGAGACCCACTGAGAATTTAGACTAAGTTAACTATCTAAACAATTAACCTCACCTGAGCTGTATAGCTATCTCTTTCAGTCTGACAGCAGAGGACTCTCCCTCCACCTTGTTGTTGAAACAGCTCCTTATATCTGTTAGAGCAGATAGCTAACCAGATGCTAACAACAAAAATACAAGTAACCGGTGTCCCCCCTCCCTCTCTCTCTCTCTCTCTCTCTCTCTCTCTCTCTCTCTCTCTCTCTCTCTCTCTCTCTCTCTCTCCAATGGAGGGCTTTGATGTAAGATCGGTATGGAAGTGGCCATGTGGGCAGGCCACATTATGTAGACAGACAGTCCCCCTCTGTGAGGCAGACCAACATTTGTGCAGCGTTGCGTTCACAATACATACAAAAACAAAAGGCCTGGCCATTGGGAAACATCCCGGCCCTCCCGATGGCCAGTCCGGGCCTGGTCCTGATATAGAAACACAGGTGCAAATGATTCATTTAATGCATGGGAACCTGAGAAAGTGAAATTAAATGATGTTCTTAAACTTGCAAATTAAATTGGATCCCTTCCACCCCCCAACCCCATTGTTGGAGAGGTGCACTATCAAAGTAGCCACTCAGCTTTGAGGATTCTGAGGTCATGGTGTCTGATTTACCTTTCAAAATCTCACACTGAACGAGTCCAAGGTTTTATCAGTTAGTCCGTCGGTATAAGGGCTTATTGTCTAGGTAAGTATGATTAAGACTAAATCAGACTGGTTGCAAGGAGGGATAGTTCCGGTGCACAAAGATTGTTACCTAACTCAGATCATAAACATATTTTTCTAAAGTGTACCTAATTTGTTTACCTACTGTGATAAATGGAAATGAAGATCCTACTCGTCTAATACAACTTCTTATCTTCTTACATCACAATAAATCCCAATATAGTGAATAGAAATCCTTGTATCATGATATGTATGGCCATATTCTTCTGACATACAGGCCTACAATTTAGCATTGGCTCTTGCTATATAACTGTCCCTATACAAAGAAGCAATAAAGAAATGAACAGAATCATATACATCATTGTTTTTTATAGTTTACAAACCTTATCTATTTTTCCCTAACCTTTGTCCTTTCCATTGGCTTACAGGAAGTTGCACCAGCAGTTTGAATCGTATAAGGACCAGGTTAAGAAGATGGGGGAGGAGACTAAGCCGGCTCAGGACCTGAAGAGCGAAGCCCCAACCTGCGGGATATGCCACAAAACCAAGTTTGCCGATGGCTGTGGCCACCTCTGTTCATATTGCCAAACAAAATTCTGTGCTCGGTGCGGAGGACGAGTGTCTCTGCGGTCAAATAAGGTAACACTGGCTTGCATGCACGGTACTCCATTTATAAGGACACACACACACACACACACACACACACACACACACACACACACACACACACACACAATCACACACACACACACACACACATATGCAGATGTCCCCCCCTCAGGCAGATTTCTCCCTATGTTACTATTTTAAATCCAAGGTTATGAAACATTGCAGCGGAATCTTAATCTGGGAATAGAGCCAGCGGTGTCTCTAATGGCAACTAATGTTTTCCAGATTAACAACATCTACTCCAGTCAGAGACTCTCTGCATGATATGCCTTTATCTAAATCTATTGTTCATTCACAGCACAGATTTCTTATTCATGTTTACTGTAAATTATAGTTATGCTATTTCACCACTGGAGGGAACTATTCCTCCTTTTCTTTTCCCATAAAGGTGCCTAACTAACCTCTGTACAATCCTCCCCACAGACTAAGCTTTCAGTATTAGACTGCTTACATTTGAATCATGAGCTTGAATGTTTTTTATGCGATGCCATCCAATCCTCTGCTGTTGAGTATGTGACAGTACTACCAGGACCTACTAATGCCACTCACAATTTCTCCCTCCCTATCTTTGCTGCCCCTTCCCCCTCTGTCTCCCTATTTCTTTCTTTCTGCTGCATTCCTGCTCTCATGGAATTGCAACAGGAGGACAAAGTGGTTAGCAAATCCTTTTACTGCGTTTCTTGGGACTTTGTCTCAACACACACATTGTTCATGAAATGCTGTGATATGTATATATGTGTACACATGCAGCAGCCAAGAATGACATGAAACAAAACAACTAACTACTGTCTGACTGTGAGTCTACCATTGTATGCTGGGATAAACTCTGAATAAACACTAGCTAAATGAAAAAAAAGAGGGCAATATGCAAATAAAATCATGGGAAGTATTACTCAGACTGTTAAAACAGTAATATATAATGTCCTCTTTGTGAACAATGTAACCCTGAAGACCTGTCTTCTATGTTTGAAACAGAAAGACTAGCTTGTTTGAACGAGATGGTTGCTTACCAGGCATGGAGAGTATAATGAAATAAACTATGGTGTTGCAATATCGGAAATTGTGGCATCCAGCCTTTTTAGACTTAGCCAACTGCTGCAAAGATGTTGACCTTTTTTAGTCCTTTATGCAAGTGCAAAACTCAATACCGGAGTACCAATGTAAGCATCATTTTGGAATTCAAATTAGACCTCTTTTCAAACATTGGGTTGGTCGATTATGGCCAAAATGATTTTCTCGATTATTTGGATCATTACTGAGATCATAATTATTTATCACTTTTCACTTTATCAATCATTTAGATTATTATCCCTCCCTTTGCTGATCTATATTGCTTTTTAACAATACTTTCTCCAACGAGGAGTTGAGGGAAGTTGTTTTTTTTTAACAAAACAATTTGTAGCAAAGGTTTTGATCGATAAGAAATCACCAAAGATTATAAAGGAAATCCCACACCAAATAGGAACGTTCACAATTCAATGATATAATGCAGTCCTACGTGTGTTCTATTGAACAATAATAGTTTTGAAAAAGAAACTATAATGACTGATTGAATGCCCTTGGGGATCATGTATATATTTGATGCTGTATTTGTTTAGTTAGTAGCAAAAACACAGTCGGATGAACCTATTAGGGGGGTCGTATTATTGTCCTTGTCCATGTGTGACATCAATTAGCAATAGCTGTCTTATTGACGCCATGCTAGGTGTTGTCTATCAAATGTTAACTAAAAGTGTTTTACCGTTATAAGCCACGCTGGAGGGAAGAACATAGAAGCAGGTTGGATCCAGCGGAGCAGCAGGAACACTGGGAGAGACCTCTGCACTGCTACTCCCTCCATTGCCAAGACCCCAGTCGTACAGGCTGCCATTGTTCACTGGAAATAATAGCTAGGGGATCGGTTACCTTGTTGTACAGATGGTGTTGAGTAATAACAGTGGCAGCAGGCTGGCGAGTGACAGTGGGGGCATTGGCAGAGGAGCCCTGGAATGTGCCACTGAGGCAATGCCAGCTATTTAACTGGTGGTACCCCAGGCTCCTGGCCCTGGACGTCTACTCACCATGAAGACCGGGGATGCTGATGTATACTTTTGTATACTATCATACTGCAAAAAGATTCCATCAAAGTCCTGAAGAGTCACTACACTGTCTCTGTGTTTGATAACAATACCATCATTAAAGTACTTTTGCAGATGTGGCTTCAGAAAGTCCAACATATTGGTATTCATAGACGTGTCATCAACAGGAAAGCAGAGTAAGCGTTTATAGCAGGATGCAGATGTTCAGATGGTTTGAGAGAAAAGGCGAGCTAGCATTCAAATGAGCAGAAGAGGTGGTGAGGGCTTTAAAAAAGGTGGCTTACTTCAGTAGTCATGCAGTCATATGTACAGTATGGTGTCTGCTTATAGAGTCCGGTGTCTTCTTGCTGACAGCTGATATAGGGAGTGGACAGGGTCAGCTTGGGGCATTGAAGACCTGTTGTCTTTTAGCTGAGATCAGATGAAAAGATTCTCTTTCAGTTCCATGCAGAAAGAGAGAACCTTAACCCTAAATGTAACTGTTACAGCAGCTGTGAGCAAAATAGACAAAGATAGTAAGCAAAAAGCCCTATACAATAAAAGAATATTGTCACAATATCATCAGCCTATCTTATGATACAAAGAAATTACCTAAATCCTTTTTATTTTATCGACTAACGGTAAGATATGACCTTGATCTTTTTTGCCGACCTCGATATTGCGTATGTGTTGAGTAAGAATGTCACCACCATGATGCCAGATTCAACGCTTTCCCCTATTACTAAACTAGGGCATTGCACAGACATTGTGCATTTTATCAACCCAGATGTAAATGTACTTATTGTTTGGTTGTCCTTATATTATCAATATATCAGTAGTGTATAGTAGTTTTTAAATGTTTTATGCTAGCTGAACAATATTAGCCAAACCAGAAAACACAGGGCTTTAATTGTGAGTTTGTGATACACAGCACTTTACTAGGACTTTTGTGATATTGATTGATGCTGATTTGTTTTGTGTGTTCATGCCTGTAGTGGCAGATGGACAGAAGCTTTGATTACTCTGCCACATTTTGGTGTCCCAAACCAGCTTGTCTGAAATATTGTGTGTCAGTGAAAGAGGTGGCAGTGGTGAAACCTGCCCTTTTTCCATCCGTCTACTCTTTCCCTCTCTCACAGATGGTGACAACAGTGGCGAGAGAGATCTTGTTCTGCGAAACACCATTGAATATTTACAAGTCTCTATGTCTGCGACCGGTAGCACAGCTATGGCACACTGGAATATGATATAGAGGGACTGAGAGTTAAACTGCCCCTAAAGGAGTGAAAGCTCTGACCAAAATGGCTCACAGCTCTGCTCGATAATGTAACGTAATGTTGAGATGAATCTACTCATTTGATTTCCCTGTGCCTTATCACAACAAGCTGAATAATTGATACAAAAACGCGGATAGAATACCTCTTGTGATAACAATCACTGCTCATTCATTGCACCAACTGGCTTACAGCCTCTACAGTTGATACTTGAAAAACCAAAGTGTGACACTTAGGAGGTACAAATATAAAATCCCTTTGGTACAGATACACTGTGTGTCGTCTTTAGAGTTCATCAGTGGAGCCCCTTATTTCCTCTGATGTTGCTTCAAAAGGGCCTGAGGAATCAACTGTCTCTTGGGAGAAAGTCATGTGTGACTCTGGAAGACATGACATGTGCTTTTTGGCCCCTTAACGTTTCTACTAAACAATGCAAAGTCCTACAGCTCTTTATAGGCTTCTTGTTCGGTGTAAAACAGCATTGTAGTGAATAGCCAATAATACATATATCTGTGAAGGATAACAGGGAGATTAGTTGATATCATATTATGGGTTAAGGCTTAGGTCTCTCTGAAATGACCAACATAAAGATAACTGAATTTAATTTTAGAGTATGTTTCTTTCAATGACTGTCAATCAATATTATTAAATATGTTATGATTTGATCGGATATCTCTGTTGAAATGATTTATTTTGGTATATGCTGCGGAGTTTGAAAACAAAAGGATGTGCATTTGTATCTTAGTTTTCTTTGTTTGCATTTTCCGAATTGGCTTCACAAGGACTTTTAAAGGGTAACATATTTAGCTTTACCCTACCTATGCTGCAGGTAGGAAAGATGATGGGCAAGCTCACTTGAAAATACTACCTGTTAGATAGCTAATTTGGGAGCTTGATTTGTTTTGGCAATACCCACTACTCCCAATTCTAATAAATTCCTAATTGATATGGTCATTGTATGGCTCAATAATTCCCTGGTGCTAAGCAACTTAAAATTGGAAATGATCTTACAGTTTCTAACGTGAACATTTCCAAGGCTTTTTTTTATCCACATGAGAAAAGTATTCCTAAAACACGTGATCGCAGCTTTCTTCACATGTTGTGACCTCATTGCTCCATAGTCCTGCAGTTGTCTGACAACATAAAGAGAACCAGGCTACCTAACTGTGGCGATGTCAGCAGCTGGGTTGTGTTTCTAATGAAGCTTGAATGTGGGCACTCGATGCACAGGCTGGGTCGGAAATGGCTTAGTGTGACTGTTAGCGCTCAACGTAAAGCAGTGCAGCCAGCCGTCTGCGTAGCCGCGCTGCTCCTCTGTGTCGGGCTGTGGAGCTGGACGCGCCGCATATGTAATGAGCTCTCATCAACTCTGGGTGCACGGAGGAACTCGTGCAGCGGTGCTGGGAAACAGCGTGATTTGACGCGTTACTGCTCGGCTCCTTCTTACTGACATTGAGGATTGTTTTGCACGGTTGGATGGATCCAGTGTAACGATTGTAGATTGAAATCCGTTATTCATTCAATTGAATAGACGTCTGTGGATACTGATATTTCTCCGTTGAGAGACGAAGACGGAGACTGCCTTGTTTTGTCGGATCGGATATTGTCCGTTGAGTCCCCGGTGTAACCTTCACGGTGTTTCCAGCAGCCGCTGTCCGGCATGCAGGCAGGCAGCTTGTTGTGAGGACGGGAGCTGTCCGCGGTGCTGAAGGTCGGCTGCTTATTCCTTTTTTCCAGGAGACGCGGACAGTCGTCTCTACATTTTAAGGACTAGAAAACGGCGATTTTTTTTTTTTTGGAACAGTGATTCCCTTCAACGGCAGCATGGGTAAGCTGAGAGAGCATGAAGCTGCGACTGCATCGCGTTTTTACCGGTCATCGTGTTTGTCAGAAATGTGACCATTTCTGCACTCCCTCTGGAATGTGTGCTGCTGTAATTTATCCTGGAAAACCCGTCAGAAAAAGATTTAGCATACGCATTTTGAAGATCATATCAATGTAATATTTTGCAGACGTGATTTATTTTGTTGCCGAAAATGACATATTGTTTAAGTGAGGTCACTTTGTATCTGTTTAAATGTTTTTAACACATGTAGTTCTATCTTAGAAAGGCTAAAGCTGGTGTGTCTGACACCATTTCTGTGTGAAGCAGTTGGGTGTATGCAATTCCCTCTTCTTCCTCATGTCTCTGAACTTCAAACGAGGAACATAAATATTCATCAAGTCTATTATTATTACTGGCGCGCACACTAAAATTAGAAGCTCATTAAAATGTAATTCACCACGTGCAGTCAGCGTTGGAGCATGTGAATGAAGGCGCTCCCATT